TATCCTTGCATGAGCCCTAGGGGCACAACAATGAGGAGAATGAGTTCATGAATAAAGGACACTTCACCATCACTTTTATTCTCTTTTTCTCTTTTTTTTTTTGAGACAAAGTCTCGCTCTTGTCCCCTAGGCTGGAGTGCAATGGCCTGATAATGGCTAACTGCAACCTCTACCTCCTGGGTTCCAGCGATTCTCCTGCCTCAGCCTCCTGAGTAGCTGGGATTACAGGCGCCTGCCACCATGCCAGGCTAATTTTTGTATTTTTAGTAGACATGGGATTTCACCATGTTGGCCAGGCTGGTCTTGAACTCCTGACCTCAGGTGATCCGCCTGCCTCGGCCTCCCAAAGTGCTGGGATTACAGGCATGAGCTACCGTGCCTGGCCTGTTCTCATTTTTTAAATCAGTAGCTCGTAGACATTGTCCGATCTTTTTATTTCTTTGTAAGCTAATTTGAAAATCCTTATTATTAATCTGGAGATTAAGAAGCCCCAAACTATTTTATTTTTCTATAAGCAGGAACATGAGAATAAACCTGTCTGTGATAAACACTCATGGGCAAATAAAAACCATTATGGATAACCGAATGTACAAGCCTCGTCCTCAATGTGTTATCTTGTTCATAAGCATCCTAAAATAGTTCAGCATGTACTATGTGCCGGGGCATGTTACTTAGTTTTAATTTACACCCTAAGGGTGGTTGGATAACATCTGAAGTGCCTTATTCAGGAATATATTATCCAGGAGTCTTTAGTAAGCATTTAAAAATCTGTAATGAGGTGTCCACTTCTTTTTAGAGGGTTCAACTACTGTCTTCTCTGATGGGCACTCCAGGGTATGCTAATTAGCACAAGGGATATGAGAAATAATTTTTCACTGGTGACATGAAAGGTGCCTCAGACATATGTATTAACAAGAAATAAGATACAGGTGACTTCTCTGCTTCTATACCCAAGACATGAGATTGCATTGAATCCAGCAGCTGACTACCCTTCGGAGTAGAGTTTTTCTAGGGCCTTTAGCTGAGTGCAGGACTCCAAAGCCTGAAGGGGACTAGAAGCCTAGCTGAGTCCTGCCTATAGAACACAGGCCTAGAAGGACAATGAGCTAGGACTTCCTTGAGCTTATAAGAACAGGCTGGTTAACTAAGCCTGGTTGCTAATGCATGTGTGGGTTTATGGCAGAATTCCATCAGTGAACTTGGATTCATGGTAATTTAGCTGTTGGTAGGGAAGTTGCAGAGGAGAAAACCTATAGCCCTTATCAATCTCTGACGGCCAAATTGCCTTAGATCAGTTTATCCCAAATGTAGAAAAAGTGCTGCAATCAAACTTCTCTGTGGCTGCTCTGCATTCAACCAACATGAACCATCCCTTCAGAACTACCCCAGAAATTCAGCTGTAAGATGTTAAATGACCATTGTTAAAAATATTTATGGATTACTGTTTAAAACATTTATGGATAGTTTATAAATTTTAGAAATACTAGATCTTTACATCTGTTAAATTTAAAAAATGGTCACTGTGGCTCACATCCCAGCACTTTGGGGGGGCCAAGGCAGGAGGATCACAAGGTCAGGAGTTCAAGATCATCCTAGCCTGCTTACTGCAACCCTGTCTCTATTAAAAATACAAAAATTAGCTGGGCATAATGGTGGGCGCCTGTAATCTCAGCTGCTCTGAAGACTGAGGCATGAGAATTGCTTGAACCTGAAGGCAGAGGTTGCCAAGTGAGCCAAGATCATGCTACTGCACTCAGCCTGGATGACAGAGTGAGACCCTGTCTCAAAAAAAAAAAGTAATGTAAGATCAGCCCTAATTCAATTTCTAATTGTGTGTGTATCTCGTGTATCTCTAATCTATATTTATCTCTACCTCTTACCTCTTACAAGTCTAATTTTCCCCAAATCAAAACAAAACAAAAATCTTTTTTTTTTTTTGGTTTGTTTGGTTGTTCTGGTAGACCTTATCGACTGTGGTTGCTATTACAATGGGGGAAACGTAATTAATTTTTAGACTGTACCCTTCTGTATGAAACCACTAGAAACTGTGTGTTTGAAATGCACAGCTGTTTCTGAGCAAGGACTGCTGGAGTCCACCAGGATTACAGTCGTGACAAGCACTGTTTCCTGGGACGGGTTCCATCTCTGTCTTGGTGTCCCATAAGCCAGACTTAGAAACCTTTCCTGATTTATGGTTAGGAACACTGATCACTGCAGCCATGCCTCGAGGTCTGGAGGCTGGGGAGACTCGACCTACAGAAACAAGGAGGCTGCTTCAGGAAACTCTGAGGAGAGGAAGAGTGGCATATAAAGAAGCCTTTGTGGGCTGGGAATAACTTAGTTTTTCCTGAGTAAATTCATTCATCGCCTAAAATGCTCCCAGAACTATGCAAGGTATTGAAGCAGTAACATCACAGCTCCAAAATGAAGTAAGAAACAGAAGACATGGTCACTATCCTTCAGAAGTGAATCATGTGTTTGAGGAGCTAACCCAAAGGAGTTAAAAAGTGATGCAAAACAGCACAGCAAATCAAGGACAGATGTGCCTGAACTAGACTGACCCTGTGTAAGAGGGAACCTTGAAAGCGGCTTTGATGTGGTGATTCAGGCCTGGTGGGATGAGAGCATGTGCAAATGTCCAAGCATCAGGGATGGATTCTAGTGATTCAGAATAGGTGTCTGAGAGGCCAAGACAAGAGGCTGCCTGGAGGAATAATGAGAGGTGGGAGTGATGGTATTCTGAGGTGGAAAGAGTTGTGCCTCGCAGGGGTCAAGAAGTGTGGCCTCTGGTCCCCGCATCTCTTTATGAGCACACAACTCGCTCAATCTTGCTGCGCTTCCTCGCCTGCTCCTGTATAAAGCAAGGATGGACAAACTGATCTAGATGCTTGTTTTCCAAACCCCACCTGCAGGACAGGAGCAAGTTGTGATGGCAGAGAAAAATGAGGACAAGATCGCAAGTTTTTCAGAAATCTAAATTTATTAAATGTAAAGGACTGCCTTCATCTTGCAAGTGTAGCCTTTGTGCTTTTCCTTGGTATTAAAATGCCTTTCATTTCATGAAATAGTGGTGACAGTGGATGGTTTTTTTTAAAAAAACTGGCCTCACTTGGCAGAATACATATTTGGTTAGTATGACATCCTGTGTGAGATCATATCCCCCAGTTTGTTTTAAAAAAAGTGGCAGTCAGCGAAGGACCAGGAATAAAAACTCTGGATGAGAGACTCTTAATCAGGTTGTAACAGTTTGTATGAGGCTTGGCAAGTCTATGTGCCCAGGATCCAGTCTAGTCTGTGTGGGCTGCCAGGCATTTTGGACCTATTTGCCCCCCTCTTTAAAAACCATTAGGTGTGAATACCTTCACACAGCCCTTCGTAAGCCAGCTGCAATCTCTGTCCGCCATTTGTAAGTCTCAGTACCCTCCACTCCTGCCTCACCAGTCTTTTCTCCATTTCCCATAACTCTTCCCACCACCCTGCCTTTGCTTATGCTGGTTCCTCTGTCTGGGCTGCCTTTCCTCCAGCTGCCTGGCAAAATCCTATTCCTCTAGACACCCAATGTCTAATGTTACCTTTCATTCTGATTTTTTCCTTAATCTGCCCCACTCCTTCCAATGAATGAACTGCTCCCTCTTCTCTGTTTTTGACATTTTGCACAGATTTCTATTGCCTGTATTCATGGAGTATTTACTTCTGCCATTCTGTCCTCCAGGGCTGTGACCAACAGCACCTAGCTTGGCTTCTGTCCCTCAGATATTTACTGAATTGAAAGATATCGTGTTTGAGATTAATAAAAGAGAAACAGTGTTTGGTATAAGCCCAGTCAAATAAAGAACGAAAAGGTTACTTACACGGTCTGAATCGCTCAGATTCAAGAAGGCCCCCTCCCACCCTCAAATTCCTTCTGCACTGCCTCACTTGTGCCTCAAAGCCACCCCTAACGTCTCATTCCTTCACTTAAAGGTTACAATGTAAGAAGTTTATCAGATTCTCTCCCAAGCTCAGGCTTGATGGAAGAAAGAGGGGAGGAGCCGCAGGCACACGGGTGGGGTCGGAAAGGAGCCACTAGGCTGCAGAGACGGCAAAAAGAGGGTCTGAGGACACAGCCTGTCTCATTCTCAGTTATCACAGGTTGGCGGAGGTCACAGGATAAAAATACACCTGCCTGCGTCCAACATGTTTAGGATGGGAACTGATGGGATCAGCAGGTCATAGCTAATGGCCTCACAGCCCATAGAGAGATGTCGTCCTACTTAGGAAAAGGCCTGGTCCGAGGTGCCGGGAAATACTCACTGGCTGGCAGGGGCTAGGGCTAGCCGACTGGGTGGATGGGGTCTAGGGAGCTGGGATAGGGAATGGGACCCAGGGGCTGCGAATGGAGGCGGTGCCTGCTTAGAGTGTTGGCTGGACTGGAAGAGCAGGCCGGGCGTGGGTCCGCTGCTGGGGGAGGAGTGAGGCGAGGGGAGAGGGGAGGTCAAGGCCTGAGCTTCCCTGAGCCCAGGCCGAGGTCGGGCGCACCCTGGGACGAAGCAGGTCTTACAGGGACCTGCTCCCTCCGTGCTCGGGCTGGGGGACCCTGCAGCCCGCCTCTAACTTGGCCCCGAGCCACTGGGGGCACTTTTTCAGACTTGCTTGGTGCCGGGACTGGATACTTTGGGAGATCGAGGCAGGCTCCGCTGAGGTTTGCGCCGGCCGAGGGGGCAGACCCTGAGTGCGGGCGTGTGGGTGTGTGCATGAGCGTGGACCCGGAGCGACACACACTCACACACACACACTCACACGCCCGCACCCACGCAGGGCCCTCGGCCGCGCCGCCCCGGACCCTCAACCCGGAGCCCGGTCCTCCCTGACCACGGTTTCTCACTAATGCAGAGGGCATGATTCGTGGGTCCCGAACGAGGCGCCACGGTAAGGTGTTCCCACCCCACCCCGGGGTGGCGGCCCCCTCGCTCGCCCGCCCGCCGGGAAGGGGATGGGGATCGGGTGCCCGGGGCTCTTAC